ATAAGATGCGGCTGGCTTGACCGCGGCTCACAATTGACGGCTCACTTGACCGCGGTGAAGCCATGACGCGGACAAGCGTCTGGGAGCCACCAGAATTACCGAGAGCTGTTCTGACCGAACTCGGTCCAGGAGAAGGGGGAATCAGAGGGACTGGTGGAAACGCATAAAGGAGCGTTCGAAGCCCGGGCTGGTGTGAGAAGGCGTCCGCTCCGAGCGAGGTTTGGTCCCGGAGACTCAGGGAAAACCACAGGCGACACTGAGCGTTTTCGCGAGCCGTGAACAGATCCACACGGTTCCCCGAACCTTATCCAAATCTGTGATATCAGCGCGGGATGCAGACGCCAGTCGGAGTCGCGGGGACCCCCTCTCGACAGGATGTCTGCCGCTACATTCAGGATCCCCGGAATGTAGGTGGCACAGCAGGTGGACATGTGCCCAACACAGTAAATCTGTGGCTATGCGCAATAGAGGGGGGGATCGAACTCCCCCTTGGCGATTTATGCAGGCTGCCGCCACCTGGTTGTCTGTGTGAACTTCGACATGACGGCCATCGAGAAGGGCAGCGAAGTGCATGAACACATTCCTCATTGTCATAAGCTCCAACACATTTATGTGCTCGTGCGTGTGGGAGGGCCAGCGATCTGCCGCGTAACAAGCACGTGCCCCTCCACCCCAGACAGTGACGCATCCGTAAACACAGATACGTGTGACGCAGGACGTCCGATGGGAATCCCGTGTGAGGGGATGCAGGGATTCCCCCAGTGAGCGAGGTCCCCGCCCACTGAGGGGGGAACCCTCAACATACGTCTCTTCTGACGTATCGGGTGTACCCGGAGGCAGATGAACCAACTTTGCAGGCGCCTCGAGTGCAACATCCCGCAGCAGCACCACCGAGTGGGCTGCAGCCAGCATGCCCAGAAGTCTCATGACTAACAGGGCTCTCACGATCTCGCGGGGTTGCACGCGAGAGATCACCGTGGTGAGATCTGCCGCTCTCACCGGCGACGAACGTGCTCTCATTAGAGAGGCGTTCAGCTCCCCCACCCCCCCCCCCCCCCCCCACCCCCGAGAAACATAATCGACTGGGATGGAAGAACAGAGTTCTTCCCCCAGTTTATAGAAAACCCCAGGGTTGACAGATGCTCTGTTAACCTCCTGTTTGCACTGACGCCCCGTCCTCGGACCGGGCGCATCGGAGCAGATCGTCCCCGGTAAAATAAAACCCTCGTTTCCGCCGTGCGCAGTGGCTGCAGCGCGATCTCCGGACATTTGGAGAAAGTGCGCTGGGCTAGCGAGTAGCCGAAAGGGAGGCATTCGTGCGCGCGTTCCGACAGCGGACGTGTGCTCGAGGTCACGTGAGCAACGTCTGAGGATTGGTTTCGCGCCCTTACAGCCGTCGCTCGTACCAGAGAACTGGGGAGCGACCCATGGAGGGCTGTGCTCGAAAGAGCAAGTGTGAAACAGCTGGAAGAGGCTGATCCGCACCGCAGAGCGTGGAGTCCATGAAGGACGAGTGGGAGCCGGGCCCGTGCACGGGAACGTCAAAGTGCCAGCGGATGGAGCCGCGCAATGTGCGCGCTTTGCGCGTTGGTCGCGACAGCGCCATGACATCTCCGTCCCACCCCAAAGTTGTGGGGGAAGCGGGATGAGTCGGGCCTGGCCGTAGGCTGGGGGCGGTGCGCAAATGGAGCGCACCCTTACAGCTACCCGTGTAACATGACCGAGTCCGACTGTGTGAACATGCAGATGTGCTGCAGTGCTTGGTGCGGGGAACATCATGTGTGAGGATTCGGCAGAAGGTTCTGCAGAGGACTGTAGGATTGTGCTCTCGATGTGACGTTTTTTGGGTTTTTATTTCAAAACCAAAATAATTCACAGAGTTAACATTGCAGCCATAAGCACACATATTCCCCCCAACGAGTCGTTTTCGTGGTTGTTTTCGGCGAGGTTCCTGTGACTGCCAAGGCTGTGTCTGCTGGCTCGTTCGGAACCGTTGGCCGCCAACTCCCTGGTCCCGCCTCAGCGGGAGGCCGGCTCCGCGGGGCGGGCCGTGCAGCTGGGCGCATGGAGTTTCCGCGCCGTTCGTCCCATCCTCTGGGGGAACGGCCGGAGTGCAGGCTGACCGAGAGTGGACCAGGTCTCGCACCGTGGCTGAAAGTTCAGCTGCTGAGCCCTCTAGATGATGCTCGTAAGATGGGGACCAAACAGAACGTCAGAGTTGATGTGGCCTTCCAGCATCTCTCTGTGCAGGTGTTCAGGAATGGAGGGCAGGGCCATGAGCCACAAGGCCGCTGGATAAGGGTCTGCCAGGCAGCAATGCGAGCAAAACCGGTGAGTACAGCAGCGCACAGATTGAGGATGGCATCAGCAGTTTTAGTAATGATGGTTTTTGACTCGACAGGAGAGTCAAGCTCCTCCACCATTTTGGAAACGCCAAAGGCGAGAAGGCGATGTTATTTCCTGCAGCGCCGGTCTGGAAGGCGAGCCGCCTCAGCAGCTGGTCATGCTTAGTGGGAACTGCTCGCGGTCCAGTGAGGTGGTTCTTGACGCCACACAGCGAGGCCAAGTCCGGCTCCTGTGGAGGAACGGATGGCCAGCCCTGGTCGGAGAAGCCCTCGACCTTGGTAATGGGCGCATATGTGGAAATTGGCGCCTCGAGCCTGGCAGGCTCGGAGAAGGCGGCGGACCAGCAGCTCATGGCAGCGGGGAAGTGCGGCCAGACGGGGTCTGGACAGCGCGTCTGTGTTGCCCCAAAAATTCCCGCCAATTCATCCGCCTCAGGGGAGCCGGTTCTGGAACGGCTAGCCACCTGCGGGTCGCAGCCGCGGAGATGATGGCGGGCAGCTCCTGGAGCAGTGCTCTAACTGCTGGCAGGGAGGAGCGAGAAACCACTGGGGCAGAAGGACCCGCTGAGCGAGGCTCGTCGACCTCCGTGTTGTACAGGAGGGAAAAAGGGCTATGGCAGCCAGCCTCGTCGTGCTCCTCACGAGGCTCGTCGACCTCCGTGCTGTACAGGAGGGAATAATGGCTGCAGCAGCCAGCCTCGTCGTGCTCCTCACAAGGCTCGTCGACCTCCCGTGTTGTACTGGAGGGAAAAAGGGCTATGGCAGCCAGCCTCGTAGTCGACCTCCGTGTTGTACAGGAGGGAAGGGCTATGGAAGCCAGCTTCGTTGTACTCCTCGCTGTCGATGACATCGTCCAATCGGTAGGAGTCAGCCGGCTCCTGGCCGACGTTGAAGAACCGTAACGCCTTGTCCAGCGAGTACGTGCCAGCCACCGGAATTTCCTCGTCGGTGGAGGGGGTGAAGTACTTGACCCCGGCGGACCTTTTCAGCCACGGGCAGAGCGGTACAAAACGGGCACGAGGCCTGGGGGTCAAGGCCAGGCCAGCGTGGTGAGCCCCGAGACAGACCTCACACTTGGCGTGCAGGTCGCCGCTGGAGATGGAGCCCGTCTGGCAGGCCGGCAGGTCCTGGCGTCGCTGGACATGGTCGGTGAGTAAATTTTTCTTGTATAATTGCTCTTAAAAGAAGCTCTTAAGCTTGGCGTGAAGAGAAAACGGAGGCGAACAGTGGAGTCGCTCCACTTATATAACCCACAAGGGGTGCCCACGTGGTGGGCGTACATTTAAGCTCTTCATGATTGGCTGATGCTGAGATCACCCGTCCAATAGCAGCTCGCTTAAGGGCTAAGACTAGACGAAATAGAACTGTGTTGAACGTGCACAAGTCCATACTTATGAGAGCACCATGTGAGCACCTGTGTGTGTACACGCACTTGTTTATGTAAGGTTTCTCTATAGGAGCGTCCAATAGAGTGTGAGGGGCCACAGATCTGCCCCCTAAAGATGTGCAGGAGACGGAGGGAGCTCCAAGTCCCAGAGATCCAGGAGTTGCCAAAGAGCACAGGAACTCCAGGGAGACTGCGACCAGAAAAGCCCCCGCACCCCTCGAGAGGTGCAGAGGACCTCCAATATAGTGTTAATGAGTGTTGATGAGGTGTATTCCATGGCTGTGTTGAGCGGGTAGTGCGGGCATCGTCTGGCCTATGCCAGCTGATGCCACCACACCACCCCACTTGCACCCGCAGCCCTCGGTGTCTAAGTGCAGTTTAAAATTGGAAGTGGGCACCGGCACTTGGGATGAGGCTGAAATATCCCCCTGCCAAATGCCATTGAATGTGCTCACTCCCAAGGCCCTAAGTGTGTGTTTGAGTGAAATGCCGTTGGTGGAAGTGTTTAAGGTGAAAATAAAATTGGGGGCAGGTTGCCACAGGAATGCGGAAATGGGGTCCATACCCGCACTCCCTGACTTGTCCACCCCCCAAGGTCCTATGTGCATGTTTGTGTGATGATGTGAGGGAGCAGAAGGAGAGAAATATGTGGGGATGGGGAGGAATGGCTGGTTGGGCTTAGCCCTCCAGGGAGCCAGCTCCCCCACTGGCCCCAATAGGCACCTCTGTTGTCAACATGCCACCCAGAGCATGGAGACCCCAGCCCATCCTGCCAGGGTCCAAAGCTGCAGCATCACAGAGCCTCACGGAGTCCAAGGGCACCAACCCAGCCCCACCCCAGCAGAATATCTACGCCCATCCCTGCATTTGCACAACTTCCGGACTATAAAAGACATAGGACATCCAGGTAAGGTTGGGTCCCTCCCCCTCCTGGACTTCCCCCTCCCCTGTGATGGGGCAGCAGAGGAGCCAAGAAAAAAAGAAAAGTTATGGATTCTAAAATGAACTCTAAAGTTAACGGGTAACCAGTGCCGAGACGTCAGAATAGGAGTGATGTGTGCTCTTCCATTTGCTCCAGTTAGAAGTATCGCTGCAGAGTTCTGGACCAACTGAAGGCGGTCAAGGGCTTTTTTTGTTAAAACATGTGAAAATTGTGTTACAGTAATCTAGACAGGATGAGATAAAGGCATGGAAAACCATTTAAAGTTTGTGTTTTGATGCCAACCTTCGCTGATTTTAAAAATGTATCCATCACAATACTTACTTACCTGACAATTCCAGCACTTTGTCCCCTGGACACAGCCTGAGTGTACTGCTGCTGAGCCTGCTCCTTAGTTTTCACAACCCCATCGTACACCTGACCGTCTATAAACCTGCAGATGACAAATAACAAGCTTAAATGTACAGGAATAACTTGAATCAGACAAAAGTAATATTTACCCTCTGGAGTCAGGCGTTGCAGATATGCAACTTTAAAACCTACCTACCTGGTTACTCCACATACGTATT